GTCACTACGGGGGTAGGTGAATAATTTTTTGGTTTTCCTCTGACCCCCTTCCTCCTCCTCCTCCTCCATCCCCCCCCCCCCCCAAAAAAACGCCCTTCTCCGGCGTTCCTTAGCAGCCAGAGGAATAAGAGGAGAAGAAAACTGTCACTACAATCTTCACCATCTTATTGTGTTCTAATATTTTCCTATTTTTTTTATTATTCTTATAACTTCAGATATTGGTTTAATATTTCGATGTACGGGGAGGTGGCAGTCTCCCCGGTTTAACGTGCGGACGTCGTTGGGGGGGGGGCACTAAATTAGGCCCGGTATAATTTCCGGTTTGGTTTGCCCCTCCCGCCCCCCCCCTCCCCTCCATTGCAGTGCCTACCTCCTCCTCTCTCGCCCCCCCAGGAAGGAAAGCCAAGGTGACACCTGAGGAGAACCAGGGGTCACGCTGAAAGACCCCCCCCCCTTCCTCCTGTCGCACTGGGGATGGGAGGGAGGCTTGGGGGGGGCGCAGAGAGGCCGGCTCACCTGAGCCACTGCCCCCCCCACCCCCCCAGTAGTTCTGGGTCTCTGCCTTGGAGGAGGGGAAGAAGTCGGGAGAAGAGCCGGGAGGAGGAAGAGGAGGAGGGCGGGGGGGGAAAGGGTGCAGCAGCAGGTGACTTATACAGTTTTAAAAGTGCCTCTAATACTTGCTTCTACCAAGAGTGGTGATGGGGTGGGGGGTGGGGACTCCAGGGAATGGCCCACTGGGGGGGGAGGGGGGGGAATATCCAGCACACAATCGGTGTCCACTTTTCCATTTTACACACTCAGAATCCCCCTTTTGGGGAGCTGGGCAGGGCAGCTTAGCCGTCAACCAGACATAGTGCGGTGTTTTTTTTTTCCACCCCTTCAGTTCCTGCCCAGTTCAGGCTTTTCCTCCCCCCCTCCCTGCCCCCCTCCCTCCCTAAAACGTGGCAGTATTAAGCCTAGTTCTATTGAAGCAGTTTGGGTGGATTGGAGGCCACCCGTTCGGGGTTCAGAAGCCGGATTCTCCGTTGAGCTGATTTTGAGTTCCTGGCATGGTTTCCAGGCTCTCTTCCCTTTCCCCCTTAACCCCCCCACCCCACCCCACCCCACCCCCTTCCTCCCCCCCTACCCCAGGCGGCGGAGGGGTCAGGAAGCGGCTGGGGTGGGGGTCGAACAGCTGGAGCACCTATGCAGCGTCTCCCAAAACCGGTCGAGAGGCTTTTCTCTAGTTCTTCAGTCATGTCGGTTGGATAATTGTGGGTCTTCCTTTGTCGCAAGGGACGGTGGGCGAAGAGTGGGCAGGTAGGGCCAGGGCAACACCTGAGCATGGGGGGGCGGGTGGGTGTGTGAGAGAGAGAGAGAGAGTGTGGGGAGGGGGCTTCCCCTCCCCCCTCAGTTTCCTGGTGTTTAGCAAAGTCAGGGAGCCAGTTTGCAAAGCTGGGCCGAAGGACCCGCCCGTCCGGGGCTGGCAGGCAAGTGATCCAGGGTCACCGTTGCAAATTGGGGCTGGGAGGGGGTAGGAAAGACTTTGGGGACCCATCCCAGTGGGCTACAAGATTTGGGTGAGGGTGAGGGGGGGGTGCAGGAGACCCTGCCGCTGTGGGGCTGGGCACCCCCAGGCCCTCCTTCGCGTCTCTTCTCCAGCCGCCTTGTTTACAGGTTCCTAGTTTTGGATAGCTTTAGCGCAGGAGGGAGGGGAGGACGTTACTCTGGGGGGGGGGTCCCCTCCCCCTTTCCCAAGGAGGCCGTGCCAGGAAGGACAGGGCAGAGCTGGGCTTGCGTACGGCAGACCAGCCTTGCCTGTGGACAGCAGGGCCAGGTAAGTAGGCCGAGGGGGGGGGGGGGGGGGGGGGGGGGGGGGGGCGCCGGGGGGGGGGGGGGGGGGGGGGGGGTGCCTGGTCCCAGTGCCCCTGCTGAGGGTGGCAGCCCCTTTCTGCAGCCCCTTCCCTGCCCCAAAGCCAGTTCTTAGGTACCGGCTCCCCACTCCCCTTCTCACCCCCCCGCCCCCCCCCAGAAGAACGGTCCCAAGTCTGAAAAGCCTTTTTTCCAAAGGGTGCAACAACACCGAAGAGCAGCGTACAAAAAAAGCAAGACGAGAAACACACGCCAGACAGAGCTACTGTATTTCTAGGGAGAAAAAGAAAAAAAAAATAGTAGAGAGACAAGGTTCCTGTTTGAAATAGAAATGTTATTTTAGATACATTTTATTATGAATAACTTTTGTTATGACTATGGCTGGTAACCATGAATACGTTATTTAAAAAAAAAAAACACACACAAAATGTTTTACAAAAAAAAAAGAAAAAAAAATCAAATTCTGACTTTAGATTGCTTTGTTTGGACTCCTTTTGCCGCTTTCTCTGCCCCCCCCCTGCCCCCCCCTTCCTGGTTTTTGGCTTTGTAAAAGGCGTATACAGAATTTAAGCATTAGTCCTTTTTTTATTAACCTCTATGATAAAGCTGTGCTTATTTTGTATTCTTTTTTTAAGTGCTTGGTTTATTGGGGCTGGAGGGGGGGGCGGGGGGGGCGGGCTTGGAATTTCCCCCCAGGGGCCTTAAGGCAGGGAGGCCTCCAAACGTGGCAGCCTGTGGACTTCAACTCCCAGAATTCTCTTCGAGTCCACAAGCCTTAAAAGTTGCCACGTTGGTGGGACCCCTGCCTTCATGGAAGAGGCAGTTGGAGGAATTTAGGGGGGCGGGGCGGGGGGGCTGCTAAAAGTTTGCCTTGCTCTACCGCTGGGGCCCCCAGGACGGCCGGCTCCTTGAGACCAATCCAGTCATCTGGATTTCCTCCTCTGCAATTCGCCCCTAATCTGGAGTGGGAGGGATTTAAAGAGGGTAGTTCTGACCCCCCCAGTCACCTCTGGTTGGGGAACATGGGCCTTGATTGGGTTGAAGGAAGGGCGGCTTCTGCGGACCCACTGAGCCTGCACCTGGAAGTGTCAGGTGTGAAAGGCCAGGCGCCCGCAGGTGAAGGTCCAGTTAAACTGATTGACTGCACAGGAATTTTCTCAGTAGTCAGCATCTGTTCAGAGTTTGGGAAGGGTCAACTCAAAGTTCAATGAGGAATTGGACTTAGTTCACTTGTGGCTATGTAGGGGTGCTAGGCTGATACCTCTTTTAACTCCGCCCCCGAGTTCTGCCTGAAGGAAAAAAATAGCGGTAGCCGTTAGACTGACATACTGCTCCATGGTGCTTTCCAGCCCCCTCTAGGCAGTTTAGAGAGGGGGCACGTTGCCCCCAACAACCTGGGTCCCCATTTTACCGACCTCTGAAGGATGGAGGAAAGCAGAGTCCATTCTGAGCCGGTCAGGTTTGAACTGCTGGCAATATGCTGTTCACGGCACCTTCTAGCACAGCAAAGTGTATGGACTTCGACTCCCCTAATGCTTATTGGTGGACATGCTGGTGGTGGGGAGTTGAAGTCCACAAGTCTTAAAGGTTGGCCCCCCCTCGCTCCAGTCTGGGGATTTCCCTGTTGAATGCCCTCCTGCGTTTGCCCTGGGGGTGCCTCGGGGTCAACTGTCATGCCCAGGTCGGTGGGGTTTGGGGGCTGGTGGGTTTCCTGTGGGGCCACGCAGGGGCACCAAACGATCTGCCCTTTTAGCAAATTCCCATTGGCAACCCTTACTGGTTTCCCTCTAAATAGGAATTCTCGGGGAGATTCGCGAATACATTTTAGCACACGTGGCACATCTGTACATCAGTTTAAGGGCTCCTGTTGTCATGGGTGATGAGTTTGCGCATGCGACTCCACCCAATCTGTGGGAAATGTGTCCCAAGGTTGGAAAGCGCTGCATTAGGTGGCCTTTTTTAATCCTAATGGGCTGGCTCAGCAGCTGTAGGAAGCCAACATGGTTTGTCCTTAACCCAGGCAATGATCTACCAGGACTTCCTTCTATGGCCGCCTCTGTAGCAGCTGCCCAGTGGCACCAGTGTCTTGGCAACACCTGCACACGCACACGCACACACACACACCCCTAGGCCTTTTGGACCCCCCTCTCCCTGCTCAGCCAGAGCCACCCTTCCTGACCAGCAGTGCCCGGTCCCATTTCGGGGGCTTCCCCTTTCAAAACTCAAAGCCAGGTTCTTGAGGGCCCCGTTACAGGCTGCCCAGACACCTTGTTCCCGTCAGCTGTGGTTTTTCACCACGGGAAGGTTGGGGGTCCTTTTTTGGTGACACCCCCACATTGGCTGTGATGGCCGGGCACGAGAAACAAGGTTTCTGGGGCAGCGGGGCTTTGGCGCCGCTCCGCTCGTCCAGCCCCCCCGCCCCGCCCAAGAGTCCAGCACGAGGCGCAGTGGACCAAGGCGGCTTTAATGGTAAAGACAAGGGTACAGAGCAAGGAGGGGGTTCAGGCGGGGAGGGTCCCTCCCCTGGGGATGCGATGCCCGCGAGGTCTCGGGGTCTGCAGCTGCTCCTCTTTTGGGGTCCTCGAAGCGAGACCCTCCGGGTTCCCCCTGCAGCCAACAGAATTTGGGGTGCTCTCGAAGCCTCCCCCGAGCAGCAGCTACAGGTAGCCCTCAACACACGGCCACAGCCAGGCCCAGAATTTCTGTCTGCCGAGTGAGACGAGCAAATTTTGCCTCGTTTTATGAGCTTTGTGGCTACGGTCATTAAGTGAGCCACGGCCATTTTTAACCACGCTGCTGGGCAGGGAAATGAACCCGGCTTCCCCTTTGACTTTGCTGGTCAGGCGGCCGCAAAAGAGGTTTGCTGCAATGATCACATGACCCGGGGCGGGGGTGTTGCTGCAATGATTGTGTTAAAAAACAGGGTCATAAGTCGCTTTTTTAGTGCTTCAAACGGTCGCTAAGTGAACCATTGTAAATCGAGGCCCAACTGCACAACTTGGAGGAATGGAAGAAAGGCAAAGAAATGCGGGATTGTGCCCAAGGTGCTTGGAAACTGCTCCGACCCACGACCCTCCCAAACGTTGTGCGTTTCTTCGGGGGGGGGAGGCTGGAGAGCCCCTCGGCGGGAGCCCCCCCCCCCCCCACTGGGGTGAATCCCCCGTCTGGTGGGGGGGAGGGGGGCTCAGCCCTTTGATGCTACAAATTCTGGTGAATTGGAAGTCCTCTGTTTTTTGCTCTGGCTTGCAAAGGTCCCGGAAACTTTCTCCAAAGTCTGGACAGCCCTGGATTTTGCCCCCGGATAGGAAAAAAGGCACCCACAAACCCCCCCTTGTGCTCACAAGCCCGGAAAGGCGTGGAGGGAGACGGGGCCGTTTCCTCCGCCCAAACCCTTCTCGGACGTGCCAGGTTACTGTGCTCCGCGTCTCCAGCCAGCGTGCCAGCTAGAAGTGCCGGGAACCAGCCCCCACCCGTCCTGGAGAAGGCCAGGTAAGAGACGGCGGGTCAAGGCGTACGAGGAAAAGGCAGGCAGAGCCAGGAGGCTGATGGGAGGCTGGGGCTCAGTTTCAGGTGCCCCAGGTGTCCAGGCGCCGCACCCTCACTCGCTGCTTGTAGTGGTACTCCTTCAGGTACTCCTTCAGCGCCCGCGGCAGCGGCAGGTGCCCGATGCCGTCGTAGGTGGTGCAGCAGGTCACCACGGCCCGGCAGAGGTGCTGCAGGCCGAAGGGGAAGGTGCGGTGCACGGGGGTGGAGAGCAGCGGCTCGAAGAACATGCAGACGCTGGGGTCCTTGTAGTGCTCCAGGAGGCCGCTCACGGTGGGCGCGTGGAAGACGCTGGGGTCGTGGACGTCGAAGCTGAAGTTGTGGTTCCACTGCTCGATGCGGGCGTGGAGGGAGCGGCCGTAGCGCCGGAAGCTGACGGAGAAGAGGTAGTCCTCTTGGGCCGAGTCCCGCAGGAGGAAGGTGCCCTCCGGCTTGCCCTCCAGCAGCGACTCGGCTTCGTAGCGGTCCATCACGCCCCAGTAGCAGGAGAGCTGTGTCAGCTGCAGCAGGTCAGGCACCAGGCAGTGGATGTAGTCGATCTGGGTGTGCGCCCGCAGGCCGTCCCGGACCTCCGGCAGCCCGACCAAGGCTGACTCCAGCTCTTCCACCTCCTCCTCCTCCTCCTCCTCTTCCTCCTCCTCGTCCTCCTCGTCCTGCTCATCCGTGGCGGTCAGCGCGGCCCGGCCTGGCCCGGCGAGTTCAGTCATGCCGTGGGCGAGCTTGGGCCCCAGTTTGTACAGGGGGTTGATCTGCGCCGTCACCTCGAACGTGTGGATCAAGGCATCCGGCGGGGGCTCCACGCCCTGCTCGATGCTGATGCGCCGGCGTTCCCTCAGGCGGTCGTCTTCATCCTCGGGCGGCAGGGCGGCCAGGCCCTCGTGCTCGGAGACGGGCACCGTGTGCTGCTTGATCAGCTCCCAGGTGCGGGCCAGCTCCGAGCCCGGGGGGAAGGGGCAGGTGTCCAGCATCAGCTCCCGGAGGTGGATCTTGCGCTGGGAAGAGAGGTCCGGCGAGCGCGACAGGCTCTTGATGGGGAAGCACTGCCCCACGGCGGCCTGCAGCTTCTGCCGCAAGGAATGGCCCAGCCCCTTGGAGGGTTCGGGGTCTGCCCGCTGGGCACCCTCCGTGGCTGGCCTGGCTTTGGACGAGGGAAGGCTCCGTCTCTCCGAGGGGTGGCTCAGCCGGGCCTTCCCACGCCCGGCCCTACGGCTGCTGGTGCCGCCATCCGGCTTCACTTTGGGCCGAGCCCCCGCTGTCCTGTGGCATGTCCCCCCGGGCACCGGGCACGGTGGAGGGCTGGCGCTCCTCCTGGGCACTGGCTGAGACGGCGGCTGCTCTTCAGCGGACAGGGCAGACCGAAGGGGCCGCGACGATGCCGACCTGGGGAAGGAAACAGCCGAGCGTCATTCGCTGCCCTCCTGCCCCCCGCAAACCCAGCAAGAGCAAATCACGAATGGCCAAGTCAGAATCACAAGGGGGTCCTCGACTTAGGACAGTTCACGGAGTGATCGAAATTCAGGCGCTTGGCAATTGACCCGTATTTATGACGGTCGCAGAGTCCACTTGGGGGTCACCTGATCCCCCTTTGCGACCTTTGACAAGCAAAGTCAGTGGTGAAGCCAGGTTCACTTAACAACAGGACCATTCGGCTCCATTGTACATGGGTGTGCCATTTCTCAACCTTGAAGCTGGGTGGACTTCAACTCCCAGAATTCCTAAGCCGTCTGGCTGGGTGCTGGGACTGAGCAAACTGCCATGCCAGCCATACTTGGCCCCCAGGACTTGGGGCTCAGGGCAAGGGGGGGGGACCCCGCCACCTGCCAAGGAGGATGGCTCAGCAGAGCCTGCAGGCGAATGTTGGAGCGAGAGCGGAGAGACTCCTCGACCTCCACAGCTCTTTTCTGGGCTTGGGGTCTCAGGGAGGCCTCGCCAGCCAGGTGCCAGCCTCAAAGCCGGCCTGTGGGGATGGCACACCGGGGAGGCTACACCCCACAGCTGCTGCTGCTGCTGCTATGACTCGCCCAGGGGCCAAAGGAGAAGAGCAAAGAACTCGCACTCGAGATCACGGCTCTCCTCTCCCTGCCGTCCACCTCTCCCCCCCAAAAAAAACCTCTCCCCCCCCTCAAAAAAGGGGGGCTGCGTGAGTTTCTGGGGCCAAGGAGGCAGGTGGCACCTTTCCCGACTGGCACCCTTCATGGAAAGCCGCTGGCTTTGCGGGGATCCCCCAGCCCCTCCCTCCCCCGCAGAGGTCGGGAGGCAGCTCAGGCCTGGGTGGGGGGGCTCTGCCCGGGCCCCCTGCCCGCCCCCCCCAGGCCAGACCTGGCTTTTGCAAAGGCCGCCTGGGTGGGTCGCTCTGCACAGCCAGGAAGGAGCCCGGGGGGGGGGGGGCCCCGGGCTCCCTCCGCAAGCCCCCCCCCCCCTCCCCACTTTGCGATCCCGGATGCGGCTCGATGCCCCGGCCTTGGCAGGCTAAAGGGGGAGGGGGCGTCTAGGGTGCCACCCCCGGGCGGAGCCCCATCCCTCCCTCCCTCCCTCCCTCCCTCCCCGTCAAAGCCCCGCCGGAGACCCCAAGGGCGCCAGCCCCGCTTGCCCGGGGGAGCCCCCTCGAGCCCGACCCTCCCCGCGACCCCCGCCGCCCGCCCCGGCCACCACGCACCCGCCGTCCATGCGCCCCGCCGCCCGCGCGATCCGGAGGGGCTGAGGCCGAGCCGGGCCTGGCACTTCCTGGGTGGCGGCGCCGAGAGGAAGCGCAGCCGGGAGCGCCGCCCCGCCGCGCAGCAGCGCTGGAGCAGGGCGGGGATCGCTGGACCGCCCCGCTCCGGAAGGCAGGAAGGGAGGGAGGGAGGGAAGAAAGGAGGGGCGGAGAGAGAGAGAGAGAGAGAGAGGAGGAGGAGGAGGGAGGAAGAAAAGGGAGGACCCCTCTTCCATTGGGAAGCCCATAATCCTGGGCCGGGCAGGGAGGGCAGATTGGACGAGCTAAGACACTCATCTCCTTTGGGGAAGCCCATAAGGCCCGGCAGGTGGGGGGAGGAGGAGATTAGAAGCCCTGAAAGGCTCCTCTCCCTTGAGACCCATAATGCTGGGCAAGGTGGAGGAGGGAACCTCGTGAAGAAGTCCAGACCAGAGTCAAGAGGGACCCTGGGAATCCCCCCCTCCCTCAGTGGGTGCCTCCCTGGAGCCGGGCACAGCTGCAGGGCCCCCCTTAAACCCCACCAAGGGCCCCTCGCTTCTCCCACCCCCCCCACCACCGATCCAGGTGTTGCCTGGTGGCCTTGCCAAGTTCCTTCCCCTCCGGACCCTCCCAACCCCCCGACTGCTGAGCAAGCGGCCCCCAGGCGGGAGACCCCCCTTGGGCCAGGGGTCTTTGGCTGAGTCTTCGGCACCTCAGCCCGGGGGGCTCCAAGCCTCATCTAGGACACCCGTCTAGAGCACCAGGGCTGATGGGAGCTGTAGTCCGGCACACCTGCGCAGAGAAGCCAGCCCTCTCCCGGCCCCCATGCCCGAACCCTGCCCCGAACAACCCAACCCACCCGCTGCCTCGCTGGAGGGAACTTCCTTGCGTTGATGTTGCTGAGATCGGACGAGCGTCTTTCCGAGAGAGAACTCGGCTCTTCCGTGCCCAACCGTGGCCCCTTTAAGACCTGGGGACTTCAGCTCCCAGAATTCCCCGGCCAGCCACACATGGATCCTGGGAGAGGGAAGTCCACGGGTCTTAAAGGGGCCACGGTTGGAGACTCCCGATTTACACACACCGTGTGGGACGCTGCGCTCGAAACAGCTCCGCGGCTGGAAAGCCAGGAAAGAAAAGGGGTCAAAACCGGAAATCACGAAAGAAAGAAAAAAGAAAAAGGGGGGGGGGGCTGGGGGGTCGAAGACACCACACATTTTATTGCAACAGAAAAGGCTTCTATGTACAGCAGGGGACGCCCAGGGCTGAAGCGCGCGGTTCCCCCAGAAGGGCAACTGCCCAGCCCAGAGCCCCCTGTGGCCGGGGAGGGCAGAGCTGGCACCCAAAGGGGCCGGGCGAACCAAGGCCCCCCCCGCCTCTTCCGACAGTCCCAGGCCCACCCGACGGCCTCCGTGGCTGCTCAGTCACTGTCGCTGCTCTCGCTGCTCGACTCCGAAGGGGCGTCGCTGGGACTGGCCTCCCCTTCCTCCTCCTCCTCCTCCTCTTCCTCTTGGTTGGAGTGGTCGCTGCCGCTGAAGAAGGGGCTGTGGCTGCCCCGGTGCTGCTGCTGCTGCTGCTGCTGCCGGCTGCCCCGGTCTTCCTCCTCCTCCTCCTCCTCCTCGCTGCCGCTCTCCTCGTCCGCCTCCGGCCGGTCGCCCTCCGGCTCAGAGTCTTCCTCATCGTCGTCGCTGCCGAAGATCTCCTCTTTGTCTCGCGCAGCCCGCTCGTCCTCCTCGCTCTCCTCGGCCGGGACGCCCTCGCTGGGGGAGCGGACTTCCTCCTCCTCCTCCTCCTCTTCCTCCTCCTCTTCTTCCTCCTCCTCCTCCTCCTCCTCCTCGGCTTCGCTGGCCTCCTTCTCGCTCTCACTGCCTTTCTCCGGCTCTTCGTCTGAAGTGGGGAAAGACACCGGAGGGGATGGCGGGTGGAACGCTCGGGAAGCCCCCCCCCTCTGTGGTGGCGGGTGGGCCCTTAAATGTCCCCCTTAAATGGGGCCCAAAGGAGAAGCTGGGGTGGTTGTCGCGGTTTGGCCTCCTGAGGGCTGGGCCCCAAAATGGAGGCCAGGTACGGTTTCGAACAGGTCCCCGAAGGAAAGCGAGGGTGTCTATGCCGTCTGTTCAGACAGGAAAAATGCCCAGGAAAATCCCCCCCCCCCCCGCCGTGCCCATGCTAACCAACCCGGGCTGGGCTCCGGGTTCCGGGTTCGGGCTGTGAAGGTCTGCCCGCGCAGGGGCAGGTTTAAGAGAACAACCGTGAAAACCAAAGCCGTGCAGAGGTCCTGCCTGGCTCCGCTTATTTCCACTGGATTCCAACCGAGCTCCAGTGGGCCAGAGAGAAAGGGCCGGGGAGGGGCCGGATGTGGCCCAGCTCTGCTCTCGGGGGCCGGCCGGGATCTGGGAGGAAGACCACCCACCTGAGCCTTGGGCCTCCTTGCCCAAGTCCATCTCCTCCTCTTCCTCCTCCTCGGGTTCGTGGTTCTCCAGCTGCGCTTTGCGGGCTTCCTGTGAGGGAGGCGAAGGTGCGCGAGTGGGACGCTCAGCTCAGGACTCCCTCCCTCCCTCGGCCACGGGGAGGGGCCTTCGGGCAGAGCCCCGGAGCCCCTGTGGCCCAGCAGCAGGGCCCCTCTGCCCACTAGGACCCACCCAGCCCTACCTGTGCCTCCAGCTCCTTCTCGTTCATGTCCCTGTGTTTCACCACCAGCACCGCGTTGGTGCCTGACTGGACGCCGGCCTTGGCTCGCCGCTTGCTGAGCCGCACTCTGCCAGGGGAGGAGGGGGTCAGGGAGGGCGGAAGCGGCCTGGGGGCCCCTTGCCAGCATCTCAGTCCCACCCCCCGGCCCCTTTTATCCGAGGACCCACAGCTGCTCAGAAACTGGTTCATAAAACAACAATGCAGCCAGGGAGGCCTCCCCAGGCCACTCAGCCTGCCAAGGTCCCAGCAGCTCCACCTTCCGTGCCCCCCGCCCCCCCAGTGGCCTGCCCCAAACTCCCTCCCCCTCACCTGGTTTCCAGTTCGTTGTAATAGACCCCGTCGCCTTCCCGGAAGATGAAGAAATAATTCTCCTCGTAGCCCTTGCTGGCTTTGTTCTTAACGTTCCAGTTGTATTCCCGGGCAATTTTATACTCGTACCTGATTTTTGTTGCGGGAAGAGGAGGAGGAGGAGGAGTTTCACACCTTGGGAAAGATCCGCTCCTTCCCAATTCAATTCCACTTCCCAAAATTGGATTGATTTTCTAGCTCACCCAAACCCCTTCCGTGGTGGTGGTAGTGGGGGGAGCTACTTTGCAACAGCTAACCGAGGCAGGGAGAGGCACGCAGGAAACTCAAGGGCCGAATTGAAGCAGTCCGTGCAACTTAACATCCCCCCTTCCCCTGTGAAGTAAAGAGCTGGGGGGGGGGGAAACCCCCACTAATCCAGGCAGCCCCACCCTTTTATCCCAGGACTCTGGAAAGCCACATTCAGACTAAGCCGGTTGGGAAATGTAAGCTAGGCTGTATGCAGCTGGCTGACCATTTCCAAAGTCAGAGCCCTTGTTGCGACCGCGACGCCCTTCTGGGCTCCCTTCCAGGCGGATCTGAGCCCTGCTGGTCTCCCGGGCGCCTGCGCCCACTTACACTTCCTCGGGTGCGTAATCCATCTCCTCTTCTTGGTCCCGCTTCCGCTTCCGCATCGTGTCGTCCACGGGGAGGAAATAGGCCACGAACTGGTTGCCCTCTTCGTCCATCATGCCCCTGGAGGCCGAGGGGAAGGGGGAGAGAGGCGCGATCAGTTCCCTGCTTTGGACGGAACCGCCACCGGGCCAAGCAAAACCTTTGCAGGCGCCAGCGGATAAAAGGGGGAAGGCCGGAGGTCCGGAAAGGGCTGGGCTGGGTCCACGGAGGTCCGGAAAAGGCCGGAAGAAGGGCCAGAGGTCAAGGCACAAGGAAGGCCGGCTTGGCCGGGTGGTTAAGGTGCCAGGCTAGAAAGTGGGAGACGGAGAGTTCTGGCCCGGCCTTAGCCATGAAAGCCAGCCGGGCGACTTTGGGCCACTTGCTCTCTTCCTCAGCCCAACCCACCTCACAGGGTGGTTGTGGGGAAAATAGAAGGAGAACAATAGGTTGGATGTGTTCATTGCCTTCTTTGTAAAAATAAAGGTGAGATACTAAAAAAATAAATAAAGATAAAACACCCCCGGCAAGGAAACCAGGGCTGGCTTTTCCCCTTCTCTACTTTATAAATAAACCGTGGTCTCACCTAATCATGGCTTGTGACATCATATCCAGAGCTGCTGCCCCGCTGGTGTCCTTGGGCGCTGGATCAGAGTCAAAAATGACCTGAGCACAGGGGTTGATCCACATCTGGCAGGGAGGAGAGAGAGAGAGAGAGGGGTGGGTGGGCGGGTGGAGACTGAGAACAGCAGCTCAGAGACCAGCGAGACCTTCCAGGGAGGGGCCTCTCCCCCCCCCTTGCTTTCCCCTTACCTTGAAGTCAGGAAAGACCGGCATGACTTCCATTGGGGTAACGCGGGGTTTGCTGTAGTGCTGAGAAATCTGGGGAGGGGGGCAGAGTTTCCCATTAGGAGACACCCCAGGAAGAGGGAACAGAGCCGCCGCCCTTGTTGTGCCGGAAAGCTGTAGCGGAATGTAGGCTCTGCAAAGCTCTCTTCGCCCCTCCCTCACCCGCCCCCATTTAAACCATCAGTACCAGTGGCTCCAGAAAGCTTCTACAGCAGGGGGGGGTCCAACCTTGGCAACCTCTGGACTTCAACTCCCAGAACTCCCCGACTTTAAGACCTGTGGACTTC